TCCTCTTTTATGTCTTGTGGGAGGGGCCAATCATCTCCAAGCCTTACTCCCGAGTCATCCCTTTTGTCTTAACTATGCGCACACTGGGCACAGGCTCCCACTGTTCTTCTGCCTCGCTGATGTCAGACTCCGGAGGCAGCATATAACTACCAGATGGCCCTGGCCCCCTCTCTGCCTCCGACGCAGAGCCCTCAGCCGAGCCTTCTCCAGACTCCAAGACTGGCCCATGCTCCTCCCCAACCTCCTCACTGTCCGACTCTGCTGCCAGCTCCGCAGGCCGCCAGCGTACCACAACGCCAAGACACTTTTTCTCCAAGAAACGTTTCTCCTTTCTAGAGAACAGTACAAACTTAAATCTTCGATGTGTTCGGACTTATAAGAAGTCATCACAAAGGTTCTGTGGCAAGTGGCGGGTCTCAAACACACCTATGAGATCAGACTTTGTTTTTAGTGCTGGCTTGGTAGTCCAGCAGACATTTCTAGAGTTGTAGATCAGACGGGGAAGTTAAAACAATTGAGAAGGTGACACACAATACAACTTTGTATATTGCTTCCACAAAATCCGCATAGACTTCCTTCATTCAATCGCCCAGTCAAGTTTGATTTTATGGAGAAATTACCCTAACATTTAGGAAAATGAATTAAGGAAGATGGGGAATATCTAATTATGTTCTGAATCACAGAGCGGCATCAATCTTACTCCCTTAAATATATTTAAGCCTTTAGGACTCAACTATTCCAGTAAGTTGGTTAATCCTTCCTTTCCTCACACCTTTATAAAGTATGTATTTTTTAAAATTTTCTACTTGCTCTGGAGTTGGGTGGGGAATATGGATGTTGCCCTGCTATTTTTTTGCTGACATATCACTTGGAAACAGGTCCCCCCCGCCCCCCAAATTGAGTTTTGCAATAACTTGATAGGCTCCATAACAGGAAAAAAAAAAAGAAATTCAACTACTTTTGATATATGAATATCCCTAAGTAAATTACAAGCAACACAACTTTGTTGCCCGTTTTCTGCCACTAGAGTTTTACCTCTTGAGAAGGGGCCCTGAGAATTTTGCTAACAGGTTCTTGCAGCCCGAAAATGTTTGAAAACACCTTGGGATCCTTGCGGTATATTACACCAAAAACTGTATTTGGGTGAGCATAATGAGGGGAAATGTTGTATCTGGAGACTTCTGATGTCAGCTGGGGTCTCAGGAACACCACTTGGCTGAGAATCCTTGAAGTTCAGGATTGGGCTTCTGTCAGGTCTCAACTCATTCATTGCTGAGTTCACACAACCACCTTTCTGAGATGGTGTTGTGCATGTAACTGGACAGTACACTCGTTCATTGCCGAGTTCACAGAACACCTTTAGACAGAAAAGAAAAAGGAAACACCTAACCAAACTTAGTATATTGAGCGAATGCAGCCATTATTGTGGTTTGTTCATTGCCCCAATTAAGTTCATTATGGGAACACTGCCCTAATTCATCTGTCATGTTCACATGATTTACAAAGAAATCTTTCCAAAGTGCTGGGGTTGTGCTTGAATGTAGCAATCCCTACATGCTTAGCTCTAAAGACTGTGGATAGATATTACAGTTTGAAACATGTACCAATAGCACTTAGACTTGTATACCGCTTCACAGTGATTTTACAGCCCTCTTGAGTTTAGAGTCAACGTATTTCCCCTCAACAATCTGGGTCCTCATTTTGCCCATCTCGGAAGGTTGGAAAGTCAAATCAACTTTGAGCTAATCAGGATCGAACTGCTGGCAGTGGGCAGTTAGCCTGCAATACTGCATTCTAACCACTGTGCCACCAGGGCTCCTAATAGCAATAGTACTTAAGACTTATATACTGCTTCACAGTGCTTTCCAGTCCTCTCTAAGCAGTTTACAGAGTCAGCCTCTTGCCCCCAACAATCTGGGTCTTCATTTTACCCATCTCGGAAGGATGGAAGGCTGAGTCAACCTTGAACCTGGTGAGATTCGAACTGCCAAACTGCAGGCAGCCGGCAGTCAGCAAAAGTAGCCTGCAGTACTGCACTCTAACCACTGTGCCACTGTGGCTCATATCTGGTTGGGAAAAGCAGATGATCATGTACTCAGTTAAGTTCTGGGTGCCATTTCTCCCTTCTAGTGTTCTTGTCACCAGCATTTTCATTTTTTCTGGAGTTTCCCGTGTCCTCACCACTCACAGTTCATTTTTCCTTGTCCTTTTGGAGCCTCTGCCTCAGTTCTGTCATAAGACTTTCTAGAAATTGCTTTCATCTGGATGAAAATTAAGAGGAAGTAGAAGGGATTTCCCCCCCTTTTGCTGTCATAAAAGCTAGAAAGTGAAAATATTTTAGGATTCATTGGTGAAAATTAAAAGCTTTTATGTCATGGGATACGTTACAGCAGTATGTCTTCCTGGACACTTTTACCTCTGTTTTATAAGAGGCAAAAAACAGCACAACATAAATATGCAGAATGTGGAAGTGAGAGGCGAAAGGTTAAATTACCTCTCAAAGAATCCACAAACTGCATTTCTGCATAATTCCTATAGAGGGAAATCCGGCTATATGTGGTTTTCCAAATTATTGCCTTAAGGGAAGTACTCTTATCGTACAATCTGAATTTGGCACTGTATATATAGGTGTGTGTGTATATATATATATATATAAAACCTTAGACAGCACCAATACAGGTTACTTGTATATGAAAAATAAAAAAGAATACACATGAACAAGCCTTGATTGCAGTTGAAAACAATTTAATAGATAATTCAGTTATTTTTAAAAAAATCCTGAGTCATGATCAATTCTGCACAGCAAAAGAGAATACCAGCTTTTGAGTTTCACTGATCAATCACTGACATGCACCAATTTTAAAGGCTTCAATGCACGGGGACAGAGGGTGAGATCCTGAATGTAAGCACCCAGTTTTGACGGTCAGTCCGTCTGTGTGTCTGTCCCAGAAACATGTATCCAAACAATGCTATTTTCTCATGGGTAAAACAGTACCACATTGGACCAGAGTTCTTCATGGGTGAAACTGAAATAATTGAAGGGCTGACAAAATGAACTGCAGGATAGATCACTCCAAAGCACACGGTGGGTCCCTCGTTTGCCAGGGCAAGTTTGCACCAACAGCCCCTCCAATGATCATGATTTGCTCCACTGAAGTCCGGTGCTACAGAAGGTTGCTCTCCAAAGGTTGCTTCTCCCACCTCCTGGTCAGATTCATTCCCTTCTGCTTGAGCAGTGAGGAGACGTTGGCCATTAGGAACTCCACTCTTGGTTGCTGCCTCAGGAACTACAGGTGGAGGCCTCAGTCAAAAGATGCTTAGCAATATCAGTCAATGCTGAAAAGGCTAAACTCTTGGGAAACTCCTGGAGAAAATCTCCGCCTTCTTCCAAACTTTGGGTGAGTTGTGGATCCAGAGGGACACAGCCTGTTGAAAGGAAAATACCAAAGTGAACAACGCTTTTCATCCTTCCGTCCTCCAAAAGAAAGTTAAATGTGCCCTTTTTTCATTTCTGATGCCAGGGCTGTTGGTCTACATCTCCTGCTTTCTCGTTGACCTGGTTTAGATATTATTTGCTAAGGTAAGGCTGGGTTTAAGCAGGTTTAAGTGTCTAGAAGAAGGCACGACTAGCAGGGTTTGCAAATTATGTTAAGCAATAAACCACAATGGTTACGTCCATGCAACTTGCTAAGGTAAAACCAAACACACCACATCATCATCATCATCATCATCATTAGTGTGCTGTGTGAACCTAGCAAGTTACATAAAAATACACAAATGGCCCCTTGAAATCTGCATTCCCCCAGCAGCAATTCTAGGAGAAATTGCAAGGTAAAACCGATTGGCAGTCGGTTAAACAATAATGGTGTTGAAGAGACTATGACTGTTTTCCACAGAGGCAACCTTGGATAGTGTGGAGTTTGCAGTTGTTTGCTAGTTACTAGTTAATATTCAGTGAGCAAATACTCACCCAGGAATGGGACACCTGCATGTTTGGCCAGTTCTTCTCCACCTCCTTTGGAAAAAATATTTGTGCATTCCTGGAAGGGTAGAAAACATTTGTTATAAAAGCAGGTGGAGACAAAGGCTCTATTTGCAAGAAGGAAGATGGACGGAAATAGAGGTCACGGCTGCTGGGAAGCAGAACATTGTTTTGCACACGTTCATACAGTCATGGCCTTTCATTTCCTATATGTAAGAAGAGGGCAGCTGCAAAGGACGGTTGGATCCATCCTGTAGGTCACAAGAAGACCCACCAGATACCTTCTTAGAGTTTCCCCAGCAACTGCAACTGAGAAGTTACTCTGCTGTAGTCCAGTTTAAGTTCAAGCCAAGGATGCCCATCATTTACAGAGTTCTGCCCATCAAAATACAACTGCAAGTCTTTAAAAGCGAGGATTTAATTTTTCACCTCCTGCTGTTTTTGGAGAGGAAGCTTGGTGTAAGGGAGGGGTTAGCTCTGGAGCCGCATGTGGCTCTTTTATCCCTCTGCTGCGGCTCCCTGTCGTCAGTTGGCTCCACAGTTGATAAGGCTTTCTGTTAGGGCAGGTAGAGGAAAAAGGATGCTGCGCTAGGAGTCTCTGTGGTGGGGAACCGGACTTCCGGTCAGTTTCAAAACTGAATGGGGGGCTTCCGGTTAGGACCTTTATGGCTCTTTGAGTGTTTGAGGTTGCTGACCCCTGGTGTAGTGGTTAAGGCATCAGGCTATAAACCAGGAGAGATGAATTTTAATCCCCCTTAAGCACAGAGCCAGCTGGGTGATCCTTCACCAGCCACACACTCTCAATCTTAGAAAGAAAAAGGCAAGGGTAAATCACTTTCAAAACCTTGAAAAGAAAACTGCAGAGACTTGTTGGGTAGGAGGTCATATTTTCACATTTTTGTCCTGATTTAATTTTTCAGGCCTTCACAGCTCTAAGTCAAAAAGCTGCCCCGGATTAAAAGATGCTTCCCCCTAAATACAATTCAGTCTGGTTAAGGGACGGGACAGCAATTAACTATACCCAAGCCCCATTCCGAGCAATTCTATCTTTCCTTCTGCCCTCGGGCTTAGAAATTCTTTAGTGTCCCAAAGGTACTTTTTTTCCCCAAGAGGCAACTGGACTATGTTTTTTTCTTTGAAGATCTTCTGCTTCTCATTCAAGAAGCTTTTTCAGCTCTGACTGGATGGTGGGGAATGGAAGGATTTACACTCCTTTCAGGCAGCTGGTCATTTGCATCCTTTAAGAGGGTCTTTGAAGCATTTGGAGGTTTATCTGTGGCCTCAGGGTCACCTGAGTGATGCTTCTGGTTCCTGTAGTCTGCAATTCCCCCCTCCCCCCCTTGGAAATCCATTCCTACTCCAACACTATTCCACGCATATTCATCCCAAATTGTATAGCTAAAAGTCTGGAGAGATTCTCAGTCATCCAGGTCATGGTTCTCCTCAAGGTGCTTTTGTTTTTTTTTTCTTTTGAAGATGTTTCGCTTCTCATCTAAGGAGCTTCTTCGGTCCTGAAGCTGAAGCAACTCCTTGGATGAGAAGTGAAACATCTTCAAAGAAAAAACCCAGAAAGTCCAGTTGCCTCTTGAAAAAGCCGCTTTGGGACAACCATGACCTGGACGATGGAGAATCTCCGTAGACATGTAGCTGTCACTAGTTTAGTTTACTTTATTGTCATTGAGCATGGTACAACGAAATTAAATGCCATCTTTAGTGTACATTATAACTATAAAAATAAAAACACAAACATACTGTCAGGCCTGCATTTATATTCCTTTTAGAATTTTGGCCTGCCACTCTTTCTCTTATTTCATTATGCTGTTTCTTTAAGTATAGTCAATGGGAGGGGGGATTAGAAGGAGTAGGATTTTGGAATGTATTGTTTTTCATTCTTTGCTAGAAGCCAAGGTCATCCTTTGTCTCCACACCAGTACATCTGACCGGAAGAAGCTGGGCATGGACGCCAGCGTGGAAGAAGGAGATTGGACCATGTGATGGATTGTGGGTGTGGGGACATGCCTGCTTTATTAAATTGGAACTTTAAGCATAGTTTTGCCTTCGATTCTGATTTGATTCTACATGGTATTTGCAACGCTGACATATACTTCCTTTGTTTTCTACCTAATTGAAATTGAAAACCCAAAATTGCATTATACCATAGAATTCAATATGGTTTCTGCCCTGGCATAGAAGCTGTTTTTCAGCCTATTTCACTAATTTCTGTAGTTAGATCCAATCCAGGCTTGGCACCCAACTCTCACCGAGCAATGGGGACAAACGAAGCCGCTCATGTTCTCTACAATCCCGAGGACCCGAAGACCGGTTTTCTTGCAGAATGTCAGTTCTCGCCTTACGTCACCCACTGCCACAGCCTACAGGAAGGAAAGAAAATCAATTAAGGGGGAAAAAAACTCCAAAGCATGAACTGCTTTCATTAGAAATGATCACTCGCCAGCCACCCTTTGCAGCAACAATGGAATGTATTTTCTAAAGGATCATCTTGGAAGTTATCCAGTGTCAAGAATTTGTTGCAGAAATCAAACCCAGAAAGCACACACAGGTAACTGATACAGCAGGATTCATTTAACTTCTCTTTATATGTAACACAACACATGATATATATGTATGTATGTATGTACGCACGCACACACACACAGACACAATACCAAGAGTGGTTCTTCCCACGTGGTAGAGAGAAGATAAATTTCAGTTCAGAGATGGAGACTAGTTGACTAGTTCTTAGCTTTTGCACAGACTCAGAGCTACAGAGCTAAGCCATGCCCAGGCTCCAAAGTGTTTCAGCTCCCATTGGCTGACCTTGTCACTAAGCCTTATTCCAGTTCATGAATATTCATACTCTGACATCCAGAGGGTGAACTTTGGAGCACAATGGAATGGCAGAAAGATTAGATTCAACCACTCCAAATGCACCATGTATCACAGAGAGGGGTGGGGGGGATGTGGCATTCACTATCGTGTTCGTCAAAATCACCCAGATAACTGCTGGCTTCCCACATTTCATGCAAGTCCATAATTTGTTTGGGTTTGAATCAGGCCAACTGAACCCGACCAAGTGGGGTTCATTGTATCATTCAGATTTTAGCATGATGGGTTAGTTAGCAGGCAGTGCATGTGCTGATTTCATCCCCTGCCTTGAAATCTCTCTACTGCTGCAGCAGATCATCATCCATTAACTCCATAATTCCTCGTGGGATGGAGTCTGGGCAACTGAATGGAGCTATCAGAATATTTTAATGGCCGGATGTGGAGTTTTTTTTCAGCAGATATATTCTCAGTGGGCCCAGAGAGAGAAACACCTGCTTCTACCTAGGATTGAACTCATAGCCCCACAAAACTAATGGTGAGGCGAGAGCACCACCTCTAGGCCACCGCATCGCTTTGTATGCTGCTGCAGCAGATGCACTGGAAAAAACCTGGAGGGGTATTCTCTTCAGTTCTTAGTCTTGAGAAACAAAATGCAGAATGTCAAAATCTGGGGAAATCTCCACTTTTGGGTATCCAGGTAAAATGTCCCATTTTCTCTGGGTGCAGGATACTGGTGATGCGACACAAGAGGCCTAGCAGAAGATCCAAAGCCAGTGGCGGTGAGGGCCCGTTACCTGAGGTGTGGTCACCAAAACTGCCCCAAGAGGTTTAAAAGGTCGGAGGGATTCTACTGTGGAGATGTGCTCATCGGAGGTCCCAGGGGGTGTGTCCACAATCAAGAAGTCAAGTTCTCCCCAGGTAACGTCTGTGACGAATTGCTTTATTAAAGCTGTAAAGACACAATAGGCAAACGAGGATCACATACGAGAGTATGAGAGACGAGTCTCCATATTTCTTCACTCAAGTGACACGGGTAGTCCTCGATTTGCGACAGTTCATTTAATGACCGAAGTTACAACATAACTGGAAAAAAAACCTGACATGACTCTCTTTTACACTTAGGACCATTGCAGCATCCCCATGGTTACGTGATCAAAATTCAGACGTTTGGCAACGGATTCATACCGTATTTTTTGGATGCACCACGATTTTGAAGAGGCAAATTTAAAAAAAAATTCTATACTCTGCAGACCTCCCCAAAATGGCCTGTTTTTTGCAAAAACGGGCCTGTTTCCCTCCCCCCACAAAAGGGCATGCATAGCCCTTAGGAGGCTTGTAGAGTGCTCCTGGGGGGTGGGGTGGGAGCAAAATTAAGCAAAAACTGGCCCATTTTTCGCTCATTTCTGCCTTCCCCAGCACCCAGGAACACTCTGAAAGACTCCTAAAGACTATGCATGGCCATTTTGGTGAAGGGGGTGGAGTTTTGGGAGGCCAAAAATGCTGTATTCAGTGTATAAGACACACCCAGATTTTCAGTCTCTTTTTTGAGGGGGAAAAGGTGAGTCTTATACTCTGAAAAATACGGTATTTATGACAGTTGCAGTGCCCGGGGTCATGTGATCCCCTTTTGTGACTTTCTAACAAGCAAGGTCAATGGAGAATCCAGATTCACTTAACAACCGTGTTACTAAGTTAACAGCTGCAGGCTTTCGCTGAACAATTTATGTCAAGAAAGATCGCAAAATGGTGCAAAACTCACTTAACAAGTGACTCGTTTAGCAACAGAAAATTTGGGCTCAGTTGTGGTCATAGGTCAAGGACTACCCGTACTCGCTTTGGAGGGTGGCAGCTGAAGCATGCCGTACCGTTTTTCTTTGGTCCTCTCCACACCACGGCATCATCTGGCTTCTCCAGAAGGAAGCCAATGGACATGAGGGCAATGCTTTTGTCCTGGTCCACGAAGACTGGCACCCATCCACTGTCACACTGGTGAACATCTCGGTCCTGCACATTGAGCATGCGAGGGATGCTGGGGCCACACAGGTCCACATCGAGGATCCCGACCTAGAAAAACAAGCAGTCGTGTTCTGAAAGAAAGATCTCACAAGGCAATAATGGTGGCCCAGTGGTTAGAACGCAGTACTGCAGGCTACTTCTGCTGATTGCCAGTTGCCTGCAATTTGACAGTTCGATTCTCATCAGGCTCAAGGTTGACTCAGCCTTCCATCTTTCCGAGGTGGGTAAAATGAGGACCCAGATTGTTGGGGAGCAATATACTGACTCTGCAAAACAGCTTGGAGAGGGCTGTGAAGCACTGTGATGCGGTATATAAATCTAAGTGCAATTGCTTCCAACCCACAGTTCAGACACTATTGTTGGTCTGCAAGGAGAGCACATGTTTAAAAATAGGTGACTACTGAATGTCTCGAAATGTTGGCATTCTCACTTGAACTCTGGCAAGACTTTGGCCACGTCATTTAATTTAAATCTGGCAATACCACAGAGTTGAGATTATGTAAACTGTAGTTCCCTGCGAACACTACATGATCTCAACGAGTAGAAAATAAGGAATAGCCTTTTAAAACTCCAGAAGCCAAATCAATCAACCCAACTAAATCTAGAGTTGTCTTTGGTTGGAAAATGTGTGCTGGAGGAAGCAAGGCAGAAGGCCAAACCAAGAAATAACCATGCTCTTCTTCTGAGACGGCTTGAGTGGGAGCTATGAAACAGATGAGTCAAAAGGTACATCCTGCCTATGTAAAGCTCAAAAGGTGGAGCAAATAATCTTATCACGGATATCTCTTGCATTTCACAGATCTCCTGACACAATGTTTACCTTTTTTCCTCCGCTATACAATAGCTGGCAAACCTAGAGTCCTCCCAATATTAGACCAGCTGCCATCAATCCCAACTAATGCAGCCAATAGCAAAAAACCCTACATCCTGCGGCTCCCTGCTTTGACTCGCATTGGGCATGGATAATCTATCTCTCAGAGGCTATACTTTGTAGGACGTGTCAAATTTTTCAGCTTTTAATTTTCAAACATTAAAGATAAAGGTTCCCCTTGCACATATGTGCTAGTCATTCCCAACTGTAGGGAGCGCTGCTCATCTCTGTTTCAAAGCCGAAGAGCCAGCACCATCTGAAGAAGTCTCCGTGGTCATGTAGATGGCATGACTCAACGCCAAAGGCACACGGAACGAACCTTCCCACCAAAGACGGTCCCTATTTTTCTACTTGCATTTTTACCTGCTTTCGAACTACTAGGTTGGCAGAAACTGGGACAAATAACAGGAGCTTACTCCATTATGCAGCGCTAGGGATTCGAACCACTGAACTGCCAACCAGCTCAGAATCTTAGCCACTGCATTCCAAACATTAGGGGTGTTCAAAATTTGTGACATGCCTTGGGGATTGTAAAGATATTTTGGTTTATTTTAATATAATTTGGATGTGCTTGGTAAGTAGCTACATAAATATAATAACTTCTGAATATTATTTTTGCCTCATTTCCTTAGTATCTAAGGTCTGCAGTAGGCGGGGCAGAGTTTTTCCTTTTATTGGGGATCTGGAGAGCTCAGTTCATTTTTCTACATGATGCCAGGTTTATTTTAGGGCTTTGTATGTTTTCCACTTCAGGACAGCAGGAAACCATGCCACTTATTTTGGCCGATTGAATCAGCACGATCTCTATAGGGGAAGAAAAAAACCAGGACCCAAGTGCAGCTTTAATGCCTCACGGTATCCACCGTGCCTTAGAGGGAGATGATTCTGCAAGAGCTAAATGACTCATGCCATCCGCTTCCTTAAGCCGCCTTCAGTCCAACAGGAAAGAAAGCTTCCTATGTTGGATGTTGAAAACCTTCCGTTTCCCAATCCAACCAGCTGGGGTAGTCATAGCAGAACACAGGGAAACAAATGGTATCAAATCACAGTCTTAGTCTAATAAGCACAGCACCATCAAAGAGGTCAGAAGATCTCCAGGTTTCAGCTAGAAATCCCTTATTTGCAATACAGCCTACATCAGGTGTGAGTGTGTCTCCAAACTTACTTAACTCCCAGAATTCCTCAGCCAGCCCTGCTGGAGAATTCTGGGAGTTGAAGTCCAAAAGTCTTAAAAGTTCCAAAGTTTGGAGAGCCCTAGCTTACATCATAGAGCTGAGTGGGCAACCCGCAGCCCTCATTTCTCTTTTTCTGACTCCCCAAAAAGTTTCCTTCAAATCACTAGAAATTCAGAGCAAAACACTGCATGTCAGTGGAATTATGATCATGGTTTTAATAAAGAAATAATTCTAAGTAGGAAACCTTAATGGCTGAACATCTCAGGTTGAATGGCTAAATCTGGAAGCCCCAAGGTTTCTGTGTGGTGGTGATGGGTTAGGGTTAGGGTTGTGGGGGGAGGAAATGCTTTAACTTTGGCACTGTACTGTCTTGAAATGGCACATACCTTTTTCCCAGCATGCTTGAAAGCCAAAGCCAGTTCAGTGGAGATGGTGCTCTTTCCAACACCCCCTTTCCCTGACAGCACCAGGATTATGTGCTGGACGCCAGCCAAGTTGCCTCGGTCTGCCAGGAACAAGAGAAAATAAGCAGAGACAATTGACATCGGACAGAAAGAGAGAGAGAGAGAGAAAGAGAGAGAGATGAGGAGCGATCTGGGTTTTGCCAGAATCAAAGGCAACCCAAGCCTTCCTTCCAATTCTGACAACGGACTGGAATGGCATTTTGCAAATCCCTATCATTGTTCCCGTTGGTCAAACTGTGCCCCGATTCAAGGTGTCTGGGGCAAAATAAACTTAAGGTCTTGTCCTTAAACAGGCCAAATTTAAAAAGAAAAAAAGAAGAAGCAGGATTGTGCTTAAGCAAAATCAACCAAGAATCTGGTGCACCCAGAAGAACTTCCAAAAGCAAATGTACTTATCATTACAAGAGCACAAGACTCTGGGCTGTTTTAGCTACTAAAGCTAATAAAACTTCCACTGTGGAAAGGGCAGTAAAATGCTCTTTGTAACGGCAGTGTTTGGGTCCCTAAGATTATTATTTCAAAAGAGATGAAGCTGAAGAGCCATACTGCAGACTCTAAAACACAAGCCTCTGCAATTCATGAAGCCACTCTTCCCCTATTCCCAAACATCCAGCAGGGCAATGATTTACCAGCCCCAAATACAGTAGATATGGCCGCTTTTACATTTCCCAAAGAAGCCAGAAACTGCCAAAGCAACAAAGCTCTTCTGTAAAGAGGTGGTTGCCGAAGTGACAGGAAGTCAAGAATGGAGTCATATCCCACACTAACCTACATGGTTAATTGTGGTTTGACTAAGCTGCAACTGGCTGGATCATACACTGCACTAAGTCAAAGCCAAAGAAAAGTTACCATTTAACCTGAACGAATACAACATTAACAGCCTTACTGAAATGAATCAAAACTTGCACCATGGACTACAATTCCCATCATTCCTGCATGAAAACAGAAGCTGTCACACATCAGCGGGCCACCGAACTGGAAAACTGGTCTAAGATGTGAAGGTGTGCTATAAGCAATCAAATGCATCTTTTTTTCTCGACGTTCTTTGTAAGTCTAAGAAAAGATGGAACTTCTCCAGGGAGATACCTATTGGTGTGATGTATGTGTGTGCTTATACTCTGCTGCATCCCCTAATGAATAGTTCTGAATGTAAACTTGCAAGCCTTATTGTTGGCCAACAACGGAAAGGTCAGCCAACAACTAGGTTGACGTACAACTTTACCCTACATGGCAACCTCCAGATTTGGGTGTGCAATTCCCAGAATTTCCCATCCGCATGACTTTGCTGGCTAGGAAATTCTGAGACATCTGGATTGTATCAAACTGGGAAAACAATCAAACAACGCAAAATTTTAGATTAGGGAGGCTGCATATCTAACAAAAACATTTAATTCTCTGATTTATCACCCAGACACTCTCTGTATGGGCTACATTTTCACCAAAGCTTGTATGTTTTGACTAAACCACCCAAGGTCAAATGAAAAGTAAATTCCTTGGAACAAGTTCAGAGAACAAGATCAGAGTTCTCTTAAGAGAACTGTTCTCTTAAAATGATGCCCGCTCTACATTTCCTGCTTCTATATATTAAAAGTGTTATAAGCAACATTATAAAAAAGAAATAAACAGATTAGCTGGGAAAAAAGCAAAAAGATAAACCTCACAATTCTAAGCACAAGTGGATAGCCAACAAGCTTAACCGGGTTATTGAATTAACCCCCTTTTCAGAGGCTGTACAATGGACTGGACCATAAACTCACCAGAAAAATTCGGTTTGCAGAATGTATGAAATTATACAAGACTAATCAAAGCTGAAACCATTTCTACAAAGCTGTTGAATGCTGCCTCAGGGCCCGATCTGGTGAAGCAAAAATAAACCCAAGCTGACTGGATCCAAATTCAATTATTTAGATTTTGTTCACACCGAAATCAGTGGCCATTAAGCAACTTACTTCACTGATGTCAGTAGGAACCAAGTTCAGATAATTTGATTTTGATCCAGACCACCATTAGTGATTTGGAATATATACAAGCAGTCCTCAATTATGACAGCAAATATGCCCAAAAGTTATGTTGCTAAGCAAGACAGTTCTTAAGTGAATCTGTCCCATTTTGTGGCTTTTTCTGCCACAAGCATTAAGTCAATCACTACAGTTGTTAAGTTAGTAATGCAGTTGCCAAGAATGTGATTTTTAATCATGGGACCATGGGGATGTTGCAATGATTGGGTAAAAAAATGGTCATAAGTCACTTTTTTTCAGTGCCAACGTAACTTCGAATGGTCACAAAATGAACTGTTGCAAGTTGAGGACAACCTGTATTACTGATTGCATTGGAATGAATTTCTGAGTAACATTTCAGAGGAAAAGTCAGCCCATAGTGGAAGAATGAAAGTAATTTAATGATGTCTCCCTTAACTGGCATGTTTAAAATCGAAGGTTCATAAATTTACAATTTAGAACCAGCATGCCCAACTCCTCTGCTATCCATATTCACAATTCTCTTTTTTACCAGCTGCAACCGGTAATAATATTTGCAACACTTCCTATATCTGGGGGAAGCCAAGATCCAAGACAACATGTTGATTAGAATTCCATGGCTTCTCAGTCATTGGGCCTTATAATAAAGACTGTCCAAGATGTAAACACCTCTAGTGTGTGATCAGAGAAGGAAAAGGTGAATAAGTATGTAGATGTTGAGTCACCCAGGAATTTCCTGCAATTTAACACGGCTAGGGCTGAAGAACATCATAATAAGTTACTCAGCTGCATTATAAGAGGAAGAAACCGTCTCCTGGACAGAGAATTTTGAACACCTCAAAAATGTATTAAGAAAATGAAACCTAGCAAAAGGGACTCCTGAAACCCTGATGGGGGACAAAGATATTGAGTGGACAGCAGGACGTTGGCCCGGAAATGGAATCTTCCATGACATTGGCGGAACTCATCAGAAAATCCACAGAAGGTAATGTTGGGGTAATTTGCCTCTCTTTTTTCTACTACTAAATTCATTGGGACAAAAGTTCAGCTTTCACATTTCTGCCATTCTTTTTTTTTTTAATGGATGTATTGTCATCCAAAGAGAATGCCTTGATTAGGACTTTTTTGTCAATAGGGAAACAAGAAAACAATATTCAACAACAAAAGTCAGCTAGTGATAGTACAAGATGTCCTTGATTTACGATCATTGGTTTAGTGAGTTACAATGGTGCTGAAAAAAGTGACTTATGATGGATCCCTGGTCATTCTCATGTGATTATGACCTTCCCAACTGGCTTTTGATAAGCAAAGTTCATGGGGAAGGTGACAGGAGGTTGCAAATCATGGTCACCTAACAAAAGGATATGCAGTGACATGATGCCTCACTTAATGACCACAAATGTTTCAGTCCCTATTGTGCTCATATGTCAAGGACTACTGTATTAATATATGAACAGCACATTGACGTATCATATTTTGATCCCAACGTTCATTTAAAAACTTAGTCAACTTATATGCTTTTCAGAGACTGGGCGACCTCTATGGAGTGGTGGGGTGGCAGAATCACCAAAGAGAAGTGGAGAATTTTTTTTCAGACTTTTTAAATTATATATTTCTTGGTGGTATTAAGAGCTTGGGATCCACCAGCATCATATCTCAAAATCACCAGCTAGAAAAATGTTCCATTATCCTGTTGCTGAAATTGTTGCCAAATTCCACTAGCACAATCTGGAGATCCATATGGACCACATCCAGACTGATGGATAAATAAACAATGTAAGCAACATATACACTTAAGCAAAATATTAGGCATGAAATGTGATAATGAATACCAATAGAGAATATTTGTAACTCGGGGTTGAACTGTGGAGTCTAATGAACAATTAAAATAAAAACATGCATTTTAATTTCATTTACATTATGCCTTAATGAATTCTATTTCTCATGTAGTCCTATAAAGAAAATCTCAAATAGATAACGAATTATTGCAGGAACAGCTGTCTAGCTTAAGGCTATAACTGAAACTCAGAAATAAATGCATGGCATCTGTGCTTGAAATGCTTATGCCATCTGGTCTCTCTCCCGATTTTCCCCGGCTTCCACTCCAATTAATCACATAGGTTTCAATTTAATTAAATATACTCACATTTGTTATGTCACTATTGGTATAATGGATTTAAGTGATGACAGTATCTGGAATTCGGTGAGATCAGATTTAATTTTTCACTTGGCCATTAGACTTATAGCAGCAGTGCTCAGCGGTTCCGATACATCAGTTACCTGATCAGAAAAACCTGGCTCACCGAGTGTTATCGTTTGATCACTTATTGTCTATTGAAAATAACTCTGCTAAAAAATGAATTATGACTATTTCTTTTGTTTCAAAGTTAAGAATGGTAGAGGTTTGCCTCCTAGGGGCTTCATTCTCACCTTTAATTCTCCTATTGGTTACATCATCTTGCCAATGAATAATTTCCTGTACTCTCCTGTAGAAAACTCAGGGAGTATTAGAGTTTGCAGTCTCTCAGAAGTTAAGCATCCCTGCATCAAGGCAAAACTTTAGGAAATAGAAACATCAGTCATTCCTGTCGATGCTTCTCCTAAGCAAGAATGTACTGTTTTCCAATGGTTTTCATTTCATGCAACTGCAAAATATTTTGATCTGTTATTCTTATTTTTAAAAAAGCTTTTATTTATCTACTGTGGATATAACCAAGACATATTATTAACACCATCGATAGAGTAAATATTGGTTTGTCCAGATTTATATCCCAGGAATCTCGTGTGTGTGTGTGTGTGTGTGTGTGGTTTAAGCAGGTGCCATAGGTATTACAAATGAGGCAGAAGAGGTTCCAGCCATTTAAAAAATATAATTGAGCTTCCCACTTCAATTTCATTTTCTCCCAGTCATCTCTGTGCGACTGGATTGCCATGTGGTTGGTTGTAGTTTCATACAGAGACACATACAAAGGCAATTTGATATTGTGATCAGGAAGGAAGGGCAGACAGGTTGATTACAGTGATTGTGTAAGTGTACCACAGCAACCCAAAAAAGAAAAAAAAAGGTCTAAATCTGGAATAAAGGCCAAAGGGCTGAATCATGCATCTAACATGTAACCTTCCCTCAAGGAAACACAAGAGTTGTGTTGAAGTAATGTGCTACATCAAAAACAAAAAATACAACCAATACTTTTAAATGTACTAATATTTTTAACCTTGGCAACTTTGTGTTTTAAAAATCTTTGCTTTAAAAGTTTTTAACGTTGGCCACTTTAAAAATATACGGGCTTTAACACCTACTCGTCTTAAGAGTTGCCAAGATTGAAAAACACACTGCACGTATGCAATACAGGTAGTCCTCCATTTACGACAGATCATTTAGTGACCGGTCAACAGTTACAGCAGCACTGAAAAAAAGTGATGCATGACGGGTTTTTCCCACGAGGGATGCAGTTTCCCCACGGTCACATGATCAAAATTCAGTCGGACACGACTTCGCAAATAACAACAACCACAACTACATTATAACAGTCAGCGACACCGGTCTGGGTCAACCCACCCACTTGGCGACCAGAACCCGGGTTCGCAGCCCACGCTCAACCCAACTGAGGCCTGACACGCGTGTTTGGCTTCAGCTTGTCGTGTGAATGGGGAAACCGCTTTTCCCCTACTGAGGGGGCAACCCCTGGTTCATCCCACCGCCCGACTCCGAGGGTCCGAGCCTTCGTCTGAGGGGATCCCCGGAAGGTTTCCCTCTCCAGGGCGGCGGGTTGGAGGACGACAGAGGAGGGAGAGGGGAAGCGTGAACGCCACAGGCCGACATTCATCGTGGGGGGGGGGGAATCTTTTCCCCTCATGAGGCAAGAACTTCACCTGTTGAACTTCCCTCATTGAAACCTCCCCCCCCCCATCAACAACTAGGCACCTTCCCTCACGCACTCACCCTCCTCCCCCTTCTCCATGTTGCTTCCGTTCGCCTTCCCTCAACGGGGTGGAGTGACACAGCCGTTGTCTAATCAGGCCTCCCTCCTGAATGACCGCCCCCTTTTTTTTACACCAATAAAGGAAGGCACCCGCGAACGGGTGCGCCCGCCTTTCGACTCCATTCGCGGACGAGTGACGGCCTCAAAAGGCGATTGGAAGAAAGGAGACGCTAGGGGTGGGACCGAGTCTCCCTTTCTCAGCCAATCAGCTTTTATTTAATTCCCCGAAGAAGCCCGCTTTCCTCTTCTTTTTTACGAGGCAACTCCGGCAAGGCGAAAGAGAGCAAGAGAGAAGGGGCGGGATGAGAGTATGTGTGACGTCACTGAAGGCGCCGCCCACGCGCCGCTGGGGAAGCCAATGAGAGCCCGAGGTGCGGGGCGTCTCGCGCGCGCCTTCCTCTCGCGGCCGCGGAGGGAGGAGGAGCGAGACTGAAGCAACGAACGCCCGTCCCACCCCCACCCCTCAAAGGAAGCGGGACGTGGAAGCCTCTCGCGAGGGACGTGCCCAATGGGAGGAGAGCGCGAGGGCGGCTCCGCCCCTTCCCCGCGCGAGAAGGGGAGGGGCGGATGCTGCGCGATGACGCAGGTAGGAGGTGGATGCGGAGGGAGGGGAGAAGGCCGCGTAGCGCGGATTTGAGGGTGAACGGAAAGACGGGATCCTGGGCGGAGGGTTTCCCCCCCCTCCGGGGAAGTCGGCCCCAGTTTGGGAACACACCGCGCTGTCCTCGGAGAGACGGGGGAGGCCGACGGGGGGGGGTCGCTCGCCTCTGAGGTAAACGGAGCCTGCGGC